CATGATTTTTATAGTAATTTTGTCTTAAGAAAATTATAAAATAAAATCCAAGGTTAATATTGTGTCAAATAATAATTTAATAATAATTCTTAATAATAAAAATTAAATAAATGAGTAAATAAATATTTAGAAAAAAAAAAGAAAAAAAGAAGAAGAGAGAAACAAAAGGTCGGTGGTGGCCTAAATACATTTGAATTAAGTCGGTGAAGAATCGGAATTAAATTAAGGCGGTGGAGAATAAAGACAGTGAAGAAAATCCTAGAAAGAATTAAGTCGGTGAGTAAGTTTATAAATAGGAGGAAACTGAAAACATACACCAACACAATTCACGATCAACTTGAAGAATAAACCGAGAGACACCGGAATTCTTGGAAGAAGAATTCGAGAGAAAGGAGGAAAGGAGGAGCATACAAAATTAGGAGAGTAATAAGATATTGAGGAATCAGGTATGGGTTAGACGTTTAGTTTTATTCATACGAATGTCCGTAATTGGAGATTACTATTCATCAATTGCATATTGTTGAAATTCTTTCAATTAAGGATGAATTATATAATAAAATTGTTGTTTTTAACTTAAATTGAACATATTTATGGTTTAATTTTGATTTGGAATAAATTTGAGTGATTGAAACTGAGAAATTTGAAACTTGGATTTCGAAAATGGCGAACTGATGAAAATCTGCAAAACTCGCTCAAGCGAAAAATATGTCGCTTGAGCGAGGATACCTGGAAAATTTGGGATTCTCGGGTTCTTTATCGCTCAAGCGATAATTACATCGCTTGAGCGACTAACGGTCATGGCTCGCTCAAGCGACAAGTGTACTCGCTCGAGCGACGAAAGCTTCAAACAAAGGGGACTAAGGGTCATGTATCGCTCAAGCGACAAGTGTACTCGCTCGAGCGACGAAAGCTTCAAACAAAGGGGACTAAGGGTCATGTCTCGCTCAAGCGACCGATGTACTCGCTTGAGCGACGAAGCCTTCAAACAAAAGGAGACTCTCGGGTTCCATCTCGCTCAAGCGACCGGTATACTCGCTTGAGCGAGCGAAGGAAGAAGAAAGGACTAGGTGGGAATTTTTGCAAAAGATCAAGGGTAAAATAGTCATTTCACATATTAGGGACATAAATGGAATTTTGAAAAAGGTTAAGGGTATAATCGAAATAAAGTCAAACAGTATATTACCCCCTCTTTGTTTACTAGGAAAACGACTCAATAAACGTTAGAATTTGAGGATAGTGCCTTCATCAAAGTTATAGATTATTATGTTATCTTTCCAACACAATTGGAATCATCTTAAAATGAGGTCTAGAACTCAAGATATGGACAAAACACTGAACCCTATGAAATAAATTATTAATAAAAATTGTCTTGCTTAAAACAACTATGAATTGTAATTAAAATTTTGAATATATGAAGGAGATGTTTTTAAGTATTTAATTGATGATAGATTGTTTTGTTTCATACGAGACATAAACATAGTGCATGAAATGTTTTCTGGAAGTCACAGAAAAGTTTTTTACAGAAAAGTATTTGGAAATTTCTCTTAAGTTGCTACCAAGGACGGTTGGTAGGAATAATGATGTGTAAAACAGAATTTTTACATTTTCTGTGAGTCAATTTACTATCAAGAGCATCCGGTAGTGAAATATGACTATGAAAATGGCTGGCCAAATGAGACAAAGAATGAATTATTAAGAATTGAGCTACCGGAATCTCCGATAGTAAATGGGGGAGTAGAGTAGGTAAGACAGGACCTCCGGTCTATGGGGATGGACCTCCGGTCTAGGGAGTGTTTGGGCATGGGCAATTCCATAAGTGGCCAGTCTTTATTTGATTCTGTGTCGTGGTAGCCTGCCGGGTGCACTGACACTCCGTCTACTGTCTACTTATTCGTGTTTAGTGGGATATTGCCGAATCACCGGACAGGGTGATGTTAAGCTCTAGTTCCACTAGACACTCAAATGAGTCTCCATGGAGCACTGAGTCAAAAAAATAAATTTTTAGATTTTGAGTCAAAAGCATGATTTTAAAGTTTTACGTTTTGAGTCACATTTGCATATCATAAACATGTTGGATGATGAAATTGTAGATTATTCATTATTTGTATGATATTCTCTATTATGATTCAATGAATGATTAATTTGTTTCTCACAATTAATTTTCAAATTAAATTACATATGGTTGTATATTTATATGCAGTTAGGAACTTATTAGAAGAAATGTTTCATTAGTTGATTTTATCGTATGAATGTTTGTTTTATTTGTTGTGGATAAAATTAAATGTCTAACCCCATAAATATTTCAATCCCAGATGTTGGTGACGTATGATGCAGGAATACATAGTCCAAGAGATAGATGTCAGATGCAAAAAAATCCAGAGCTTAGGTTGGGAATTGTATAACATATAAGTATAACTTCATGAATTGTAATATTTTGGAAACTTTGTACTAGAACTTGTTGCTTGATTTAATATAAAACCTTACCTAAATTAATTGTTCACTTAGTATATTTTCTATTAACCTTCTATGAATATTGAAAATATTACTAACCTAGATAATAAATTAGGATTAATAAATGTAATCTGTAAAGGGGGTTACATTATGGGGTGTAGGTGGGTCTATATAGTTAAAGTTGATAATAATGGTAAACTGGATCATCTTAAAGTTTGTTTAGTAGCTAAAGGATACACTCAAACTTATGGTCTCAACTACTATGATATCTTCTCTCCAGTAGCTAAGATTTCCACCATTCATCTTTTCCTTACTATGACTACGATTCATCATTGACCTCTTCACCAACTAAACATTAAAAATGTTTTTCTTCATGGTGACCTTGAGGAAGAGATTTATATGGAGCAATCTTTTGACTTTGTTGCTGAGGAGTCAGGTTTAGTGTGCAAGTTACACCGATCTTTATATGGCTTGAAACAGTCACCCCAAGCTTGGTTTGGAAAATATAGCCATGTTGTGCAGTTGTTTGGCATGAAAATGAGTGAAGCATACCATTCAGTGTTTTATTGTCATTCCTCTTCAAGCAAGTGTGTGTATCTTATGGTTTATGTTGATGATATTGTTATTACAAGCAATGGTTATACTAAGATAAGCCAACTGAAGAATCATTTGTTTGCTCACCTCCAAACCAAAGATCTTGCTCAATTGAAATATTTTCTTGGTATTGAAGTGGTCCAGTCAAAGGAAGGTGTGATCATCTCTCAAAAGAAGTATGCTCTTGATATTCTGAAGGAGACTGGTTTAACAAATTGTAAGTCCATTGATACCCCAATGGACCCTAACCAGAAATTGATGAAGGATGAAAGAGAAAAGTTGTCAGATCCAAAAAGATATAGGAGGTTGGTTGATAAACTCATTTATCTTACTATTATCAGACCTGGTGTTTCTTATGTAATTGGAGTAGTTAGCCAATTCATGCAAAATCCTTGTGTTGATCACTGAGATGCCTTGATTCGCATTTTGAGGTATATTAAAAGGACCCCAGGACAAGAGTTGTTATATGAAGATAAAGGTAATACTCAAATTCTTGGTTATTGTGATGTAAACTAGGCTAGTTGTCCAATTGATAGAAGATAGACTATTGGGTATTGTATCTTTATTGGAGGAAATTTGATTTCTTGGAAGAGTAAAAAACAAAGTGTTGTTGCTCAATCTAGTGTAGAAGCTGAGTATAGATCTATGACACTTGCTACATGTGAACTTGTGTGGATTAAACAATTCCTTCAATATTTAAAATTTTGTAATATTGGAAAATGAAGTTATTGTGTGATAATCAGGCAGCTCTCCATATTGCCTCCAACTCAGTCTTTTACGAAAGAACAAAACATATTGAGATTGATTATGATTTTGTTAGTGAGAAGTTGTTGTCTAAGAAACTTGTAACTCAATTTATAAGCTTCATTGAGCAACTGACAGATATTTTAACTAAATCTTTAAGAGAATCTAGGATTCAATTCATTTGTTCAAAGTTTGGTACATACAGTTTGTATGCTCCAGCTTGAGGAGGAGTATTGAGATGTATTGTTTATGTATCTTATAGTATTTTTTTTTTCAATGTTCCTTAGACTAGGGTTAGGAGTTTGGATTGGGACTAATATCATCTCTATTGTACCCTTTTTTCTATAAATACAATATATGAATACCTTTTGGTCATTGCATATCAAACCTTAAATAAATTATTTCAAATAAAGTAAAATTCTCTATATTAAGAAAAAGATGATAAAAAATATAAGAAAATAAGAGTAAAATTTATAAAAGTTAATAAGTAATTTATTGATATAAATAATAATAATAAAATTAATAAAAAAATATAATATGACCAAATTAACTTTTTAATAAAAATTATTATTATTGTTATTATTTAAAATATTATAATTATTTAATTCTATAAATAATCCAAGTTGACAATATTTTTTGACATCTTTTAAATAATTTGACATAATAATTACTATAATAACTTTGAAATATAAGAAGAGAAACAAAAATAAAAATTAAATATTTTTATTTTATTATAATAATATAAGAAATTATTGAATGAATTTTTTTAATTAAATTAAAATATTTTCTAAAAATAAAATTAATGTAAATGATATTTTAAATAATTTTTTTTAACTTATTAAAATGTCTTTTAAAAATCAAAATACACGAAAATTTATCAAAACGACACGGTTACAACAAAAATGACGTTGAAACATTCTTATACTTAATCGGATCAGTATGAATATATCGTATCCCTAATTCTTGAAAGATGAATAACTCCCCAAAAAAAGTCTATCTATCCAATTATTTAGACTATACGTACGAGTTACTTGACAGGTGAAGTCCTGTCGTCCAGACCATCTACGTTAAGGAAAATATCTTTTGTATCGACCGTCTGACGCAGCCGTGACTAATCGAAGAAGAAAGAAGGGTGATTGTTACTGCCACAGCAAGAGCCTTGCAAGCCACACATGTGATCAGCCATGCTTGTGGGTCTCATCTATAATCCCTCACGAAACTACTTGGCACCTTCTTACAACTGTTAAAATAAATATATATTATTTTGAGTATACTCACACACTTATTTAAAAATTATATATAAATCTTTATTTACTTTAAAAATATTACACTATGATGCATTTTTATATAATATATACGGTTCTTCCGTTTTAAATATATTGTTTATTATTTACTCTTCATATATTAACTGATAAAATATTTTTTAATCTATACATTTTAGAAATTTTTATTCCTAGTCTTTAAGTCAAATATTTGACTTGTTTCAATCATTAAACTTATATATTAAATGTTTTTCAATTTTGTGGTTAAATCACGGTTAAGTGAATGTGCTATCTTGCCGATATATATTTTTTTATATTAATTTTATTTCCAATATTGTTTTCAGAAAAATCATATTTAATTCTATGTCATTTTAATGACTAAATTTAGTCTCAATATATTTGTTAATTAATTTCCATTAGAATTTAACAGAACAAATTCATTTTAATGGTATATCTTATTAGTATTTTATTTTTTAATTCATCGAGAAAATATTTCATTATTTAGGTTTTTTACCATTTTAATTTATATGATTTGATAACGACGCCGACTAAAATATATATTTGAAGAAAATGATTGACAGTAATGATTGTACAGCAGGAAGAGTTTGAATTTAGTTTAACACTTTGAGTCTTAATAATTGGAGTTTGAACTTTCCACGACAATAATTTGATATTTATTTATTTTCCTCTCTTACTACACTTACATCTCGAATAAAAACAAATAAATAAAAGAAAGATTTTCTTTCTTATTCATAAACTTTTTTATAATATAAAATTATTTTTAAATTATTTTTATTTTTATAAAATCTTTTATAACAAAAATTTGGATTACTAAGTTTTTTTTTTTAAATTATACATATATCAACTCTAAGATTTGAACTTTATTTATTTTTATCTTAAATTCATGATATTATTTTAAAATAATATAAACATACTTTAATTAAAATTTAGTAATATAAAATAAATGTAGAAAAAAACTATATTTTTATTGATTAAATATAAGATAATATTATATTATATAAATAAATATAATCATCATCTTATTCATTTAATTTTAAAAGATTAAATTAAATATTTTTAATATAATATTCCAAGTAAATCGATATTGAAATATAAAAAAATTCGAGATAAAAAATAAATATTATTTTAAAAATTCTAATATAATGAAATCTCACACAAATTAAAAATATAATAATTTATATTATATTTTAATATTTATAAATTTATGAAATTATAGTAAAAATATTGAAAAATAAAAATAAAAAATATATTAGAGTTAATGTTTTTGTTTTAATATGTGAAAGTTACCCGACGGACAGAATATGATAAATATATAAGATAGTGAAATAGATTATAAGAAAATAAAATTAAAGGATTAGATTGGTGATTGGGTCAGAAAAATATTGAATTTATATCTTATGCTTGTTTTAAAAAAATTCAATTTAGTTAATAGTTTCTTTTTTTACTTTATATTTTAAATCCATAAAAATATTATTGAGCTTATATATTAATAAGTACAATTTTTTTTTTCAATTTAACCGTAACTTCCATTATAATTGAAACGGTCGTTGTTTTTTTTTTTTTAATTGACAATATGTAAAATTAATAGTAAACAATAAGAACTTTTTCATAGTAAAATTTAAGATTTATTACAGCTATTTTACATTTCCCAATACAAAATAAAAACTACTAATTTTATCTGAATCAATCTTGTTGAAGTGTATAATATTATGTTCTGCGGATGATTTCTCTCTATAATTAAACAGGAAGAACTTTATATCAGTTAATTAGACATGATAAATGATGTTTTGTCAACCATTATTATCGAAAATATCCTTCCTACAATCAAATATACTATATTATATAAATATTATTTATAATTTTATTATTATTTATGGTTATAGATAATATTATTTATTATTTTATTATTATTTACTGATGCAAATAGAGAATGCGAGGTGTTAATTTATCACCGCTCATTAGACATACTCAATGATACTTTATATAATTTAATAGTATAAAAATATAAAAAATAAATTAATAATAAAATTTAAAATGTCTTTTAAAACAAGTAATAAAATGAAAAGAATCAAATAGCCTATAACTTTTCCACTCCACATGTCACCGGATCCAATATATAACGATCTCATCTTTGGTCGGTTTTAGTTGAATTTTAGTTGTAGTTTGTAGTAGCAAGTACATATTGAAAAGAGCAATTCATAAGGATATATTTTATCTTAAAATTTTAAAATAAAAAGTTACGAAATTATATATTTTTAAATAATTCATTGTTTCTTTTTCTTTAATATAATTTTTTAATAAATTTTTAAAAATATATTCTCTTTTTTATATTTTCCTTTATTTTTATATTTTTCTTTATTTTTATAAATTATTTGATGAAGTAATTATAAAAAATCTAAACAATTTATCATAGAATATAAAATTTCTTAAATAAAAATTATTTAAAATGAGAAAATATTTTAGTATCTCATTAAATAACTTCTATAAAGATGCTATAAGAAACTATAATTTAATAATAATAATATCATTTTTTGTTTTATAGAATAGCACTTTCCAAATCTGAAAAAAAAAAGTAGCAGCCACCAGATTTCAGGAAAAAAAAACTAAAATGTAGCTATGAGATGGAATACGTATTTTTTTTTAAATATATTTTAATTATATAAATAATTTTAAATTTTTTTATTTATTAATTAATATTTTTATTAGATAACTTAACAAAATATTATTATATAATAAATAATTTAATTTTAATTGATTAATATTTATAATTTAAATTATAATATTATAATATATTTATATATTTATAATTTTTATTTAAATGTTAACATGTAAATATTTTTATAATATACTCTGTCTCATCTTGAAATTTCATGTTAATGATTAAATAAAAAAATAAAAAATTAAAATTATCAAGTCCTATCATTTATAAAATGGATTATCGAGTTGATCCGTTACACTAATCCATTTTATCATTACCCATATTTCTTTTATTTAATTATGAAACGATACATTGAAATCTAACTTTATACATAGGCACTAAAAAGAAGATGACATAGACAAAGAAGAATCGTACCTTTGAACGGAAGGATGCCTCTTTTAACCAGATCATCAAATTGCAAATAGCCAAGAAAACCACATGCTGAGGCTGTCCAAAGTTGAACATCTGGTATGCCAAAATCTTTTGCAACTCTGCCAGCAAAGCCCAAAGTCCCATCAGCAACTATGCAACTAATTGGAGGCACGTCATCTGAAGAATTCAGCTTTATCACCAACTCTTTGAAAGGGCCATAACATTTTTTTCTGGTTGAATCACAGAGTAATGGAACATCCTGAGTTGCGTCCTTATCCGAAGGTGGCAATCCATCGGGTATGGTCTCAAATATGAAATCTGGGAGACCCTTAACAAAGTCTGCTCCATGGGACCTAACAAAACGGTTATGGTTGAACTCAGTGTTCACAAAGGTTATGTGGAAACCCAAGCAATGGAGGAGTTTGGCAAATTGCATAAAGGGATTTACATGGCCCTGAGCTGGGAATGGTACACACACAACATGAGGCTTTGAGGTATGAAGTGAGTCCATATTTTGTGAGTAGAATATGAGAATTTTGCTTTCAAATTAATAACAAATCTCAACCCAGAACACAAGAATGTTTGAGGGTAAGATAGATATGCTTGAACTTCCCTTCTTGGATCTTATATAGAGAGAGAAAAAAAAAGTGGTAATTTCAATTTATATTTAATTAAAATAAATAGTTACTATTAACATAAATTAGATGTGGTCTTTTTAATATTGTTCGACGGATGTAAGGTAAGATTTTTGGACGGAGAGAAAAATAAATTAACAAATGATTAAATTATTCTGTGTAATTTTAATAAAAATAAAAATAAAATAAAATTAATATACAATTTAATATAAAGTAATTATTTAATAAAGTAATAAAAATAAATTATAATTAAAATTTATTTATAGATGAATTAAAAATACTCTTTTAATATTTTATAAATATATTTATTTTTATAATTTATATTTATAATAATTTATAAGTAATATTAAATTGTAAAAATTATTAAAAAAATATTTAGTAAAATATAATATTTATGTATTTTTCTAAATTTCATGATAAAATAATTTGTATTAGTATAAATATTAATATAATATATAAGTTAGTTTAATTATTACAAAATTAGAATATTATAGATATAATTTTTGAAATAATTCATATTATAACGAACACATTTATCATAAATAATTATGTTTAAGCAAATCACATTTTTATAATTTAATTTTAAAATTAATATTATCCAATTTTTTAGATAATGATATATTACATGTATATAATTTTTTTTAATACAAATAGAAGAATTTTCATTTATTTAAATAATAATTTTTACATGTGTTAAAAAAGTAAGTTTCAACTCACTACCACAATTTAAAAAATAAACAAAAAACAAAAACTATTGAAAAAAATGCCTACTTTGGGAAAAAGACAAATAAGTGGGTTTTGTTCACAAAAAATGTTGTTTAGGCCGAATGCTCCTCCACGTCTTTATGGGCCCGCATCAACCTTCATTCTTCACGTCTCTCTGTCTAAATTCTCTCTCATATGTTCCATTTTTACAAATAATCTTTTATCTTTTATATAAATTCAATATCTTAAAAGAAACAAATATCTTATGTCACATTTTCTCACAAATAGCATTTTTATCTACCAGAAGTTGTGGATACATACATTTGCAAAGGCTCATATTTATATGCTATCTTTTTTATCGATTTATTTTTTTTATCAAATTTTTTTTTCAAAGGTTACAATTAAAAAAAAAAGTTAGTTTTTTTCACATTTTGATACTTGTTTTAGTGTAGTATTATCTTTCAAAAAAGTTAACTTTTTTATTATCAATTTCCTTCTATCTATAGTTTTTCATTCATAAGTTACATATTTTGATATTTTATTTTGTTTACCTTCAATATTAAAACCAACTTCTTTCTTTTGGTCTAAAGGTTTTTTTATTCAAAGTTACTGATTTTGATTTTTAATTTTTTCTACCTTTAATATTATAATCAACTTCTTTTTACCAATTTTCTTTCGATCTAAGGTTTTTTCATTTATTATTGTAATAAAAAACGAAGTTCAATTTTATTCCCTAAAAAAGTTACTTTTTTATGGGTTTTATATATGTCTTTAATCATATATGTTTAATATTTTTTATGTTGATTTTTTTCACAGTTTATACTTGTTTCAGTGTAGTATTATGTAATCTTTATTATTGGTTTTCTTTGATCTAGGTTTTTTCCATTCAAAATTATTGGGCGGCCAAGCTTGCTGAAAGCCCAACTTGGAGGTATAAAATTAGGCTTCGGGCAAATATATGTATTTTTGGTTAGCTAAAAGGTTGAAGGTTTTCCAATCATAAGGGAAAATGGTAATATCTTTAGTTTATTGTAAAAAGTTTGTCTTCATACTATTATAATATCGTGAACATTTCAAATTTTAGAATAGAGGAAAAATTTCCCTCTTTTTATCATGTTTATAAGTATACATTTGTGATTGTTATATTTCTACATTGAATTTGTTATTCTCTATATATTTGAATCAATATCCAACATGTCCAATTTGCAAAAAAAAAAAAAAAAAAAGTGTCACTCTATTTTGGAACTCAATGCTGAAAAAAAAAATTGGAATATATTAGCAAAGGTCATACACTTGTGGTTTGTTTCAGATTTCACTAAACACAAATTTCCATTTCCCATGAAATTTGTTATGCAAGATACGAAGGTCGGTTCCACTACCATGCTTTGAATATACTTTAAATTACACTCATGCATGCTTTCATTATCTTAATACAGGGTGATAGGATTCAAGCATATGTTAGGAGGTCTCTTATATATAAATTTTAAAATGAAATTACTAAGGGACATGTTTACTCTATTCAAAATTCTGGTCTTGGGTAAAATAGTGGTTCTTATAGAACCACCCACCATCCATACAAAATCAACTTCCAATTAGGAACCAAAGTAAATTTAGTTAATTGTTATATTATAACTGAAAATAATAGTCAACATATACCACCATCACTTATTATTGCTCCTGAATTTGATACAAATTACTTGGTTGGTAAGTGCATATAATGTGACGTATGTTTTTTTTATATTATAATAATATTACTGTGCAAAAAAACTTTGTAACGAAGTTTTTCTCATGCATAGTAAAATTTTTCTTTTATATATGCGTGTATAGAAAGGGGGGAGGAGGTAGGAAATTTCAGCAAGTAGTTCTCCCTCTCATCCTTCTTCTTTTTTTGTCTAAATTTCAAGCAACGAGACTCTATTCTTGCAGGATCTGGTGAAACGGAAGAGAGTTTGAATTAAGTGAGAAAGCTTCGGTAGAAATACCACACCAGGTAAGGGGAAGTTTAATTCATTCAATATATGAGACTGAATTGTTTTGAAAATTTGAACATTAGAATGATTGATTTTGAAAATTTCTCATGTTTTGCAAAACTTGAAATTTTGTTGGAATTCTTGAAATTAAGGATGAATTATATGGTAAATTGTTGTTTTCAACTTAAATTAGATATAAGTCATGTTTAATTTGAATTTGAGACTAGTTTGGTTGTGTAAAACTGAGTAATTTGAAATCTGCTAAAATCTGCAAAATTTTATACTGTTACTGACGCGAGGAAGAAGAAAGGGACATGGAAGGAATTTTCGAAAATGTTCAAGGGTAAAATAGTCATTTTTAGGACATGGAATGAATTTTTGAAAATGTCCAAGGGTAAAATAGTCATTTAGGGACATACATGGAATTTTCAAAAAAGATTATGGGCAAAATAGTAATTTAATGATTTCAGAAAAGATTTCGGAAATGATTTTGAAAAATGAAGAAGAAGAATATATATATATATATATATATATATATATATATATATATATTTAAAATATAGAATGAAGGTAGTAGTTTTAAAGATTCGGTAGTGTATTGTGATGTGTGTGGGTCAGACTGAGTCTAAAGGTTGATGCCCAGAATCAGTCATGAGATATTATGTATTGGTTAGACTGAGCCGGAGGGTTGATGCCCAGAATCAATCAAGTACTATTATTTATTGACCCGAATGAGCCGTGAGGATAGGTGGTCCAGAATCCGGTAGATGTGAATGATTTTTGTTGTGTTTGAATGGTACCCGGGGTGGTACAAAGTACATTAGTGTAATAACTATGTCGGAGGATTCTGAATGAGGTCCCAGACTTCACTGATTGGTCGGGTCAGGTAGACTACGAGATCAGGTAGTGAGAAGTCAATGGGGGGATGACTAGTGGCGCGCTCGGAGGGGTACTCTAGTATGAGTGATGAAGGGCGCCAGTAATCTTACTCTGTGTGGAAGGTGGTCAGAATGGTACTGCGGGTGCCGATCACAATGTGCCCACAGATGATAACCTATGAGTTCGGGCATAGTTAGGGTAGACTTCCGGAAGACGTCTTAGTGTATTGATAATTTGTAATTGATGATAATATGTAATTATTACTTCTATATCTGTTTTATTATATCGAATGATTTAATACTTACCCCTATTTTTCCATGTGGATGGGACTGCGATGATCACTTTTATGTAGGAGCAGATCAAGAGTTGAGAGGTGGAGATGCGACTACTGGACAATAAGGATAGTTTAGTGGGGTAGCTTTATAGGAGCTACTTTTGCATGTATCTGTATAAATAAATTATGTTACTATGTTCTGAGGTTCCGCCAGTGAACCGGGATTTCAGTCTATATTACAATTACAATAATATTGTAATATAGATATTTTTATTTACTTGTTTACTATTTTGCGAAGGTATCATTATAATAGTGATTTCTAGGGTCGTTACAATAGTGGTATCAGAGCAGTAACATCCTTGTAAATCTGTGGGGATGGGTAGTGAACGTATGATAAGTCCGTTGTGATTATACTCTAATATGTGAGTGTGTGTGTGAATGTTTGCTCTGTATTTATGGTTGTGTTTGATATAGGATGGCACCGCGACCTCCTACTCCTACTCCGCCGAGTGTAGATGCCATAGCCAGGGCAATGGAAATGTTGGCAGCTGTCATGCAGCAACAGGCTACCTGCCCGCAGTGGAGGCTAACTATGGCGTCATCCTCTGCTGGATTTCACTAGTCAGAGCAGATGGGGCTGACTGAGTTCATGAGGCATAATTCGCCTCGTTCTGGAGGAGATTTGGGTCCAGATGCAGTAGAGAAGTGGCTACGTGAAGTGGAGAAGATTTTTGAGGCTACCTTATTCCCGGAGGATAGGAAATTGACCTTTGGGAAATACTTACTACTGGATGAGGCTAAGTTCTAGTGGTCAAGGACTCAGAGGATGATGATTGCACATGGGGAGGTGTGTAATTGAGAAACCTTTTGTGAGAGATTTCTGGAAAAATACTTCCTTGGCAGTGTTAGATTTCAGAAATAGATTGAGTTCCTGAGTTTGAGACAGGGCAATATGACGGTGCATGATTACACCGTACGATTTTAGCACTTATCTCGTTTCTACACAGGTACATATTCAGAATAGTGGCTTTGTAGGAAGTTTGAGGAG